TTTGCTTCGACGGTCCGCACAGGTGGCCATCGGGCAGCTGAGTCTCTCCGGAGTTTTGTCTAGGACAGTACTTTCAGACGACGAGTGGGAGACGATTAATGATAAGTTGAAGCCGGACGCAAAGGCTGAGAGTGAAATAGCGATTATAGCAATGGGCCTCCTATCTGTGTCATTTTCCAAGGTCGACCATAAAGACCCGCAGTTTACTAACTTCTTGAACTCCTTGTACGACCTACATGAAATCCGTAGCCCAGAGACACATTTTACTGTCGGTGAGGCTCTGAGTGGTGCTGCAGCAGGATGGACCTCTAAATCTATCGCCACGGAATTTGACGTCGACGAAAAACTCCCCACCTTGCAACTCTCTGATACGGTATTGGCCGAAATGTGCGACAAGATCATTACTGATTGCGGTGCATCGAAGCCTTCTCTGAGGAAAGCGTCTTCCATATGGTTACTTTGTCTGGTGAAAAATTGTGGCCACCTACAACAAATGCAGGCCCGCCTGCGTAAATGTCAAAGGACATTCACGCGTTTACTTGCGGATAGGGATGAAGTGGTGCAAGAGACCGGGGCCCAGGGTCTAAGCCTTGTGTACGATATCGGTGACCAGACGCTAAAGGATGATTTGGTACGCGACTTGGTGGACTCTTTTACGGCAGCTGGCTCCAATCTTGGGGGGGGCAAAGTTAACGAAGACACCGAACTATTTGAACCAGGTGCTCTACCAACTGGAGGCGGGTCATCAGTCAATACTTACAAAGATATTATGAACTTAGCCTCTGAGGCTGGCGATCCCACACTTGTGTATCGATTCATGTCTCTGGCTTCGAATAATGCCCTCTGGACCAATCGTGCAGCATTCAGCAAGCTAGGTATAAGCACTATATTCTCCGATTCCAGCGCCAATGGCTACCTGGCCAAGAATCCCAAAATCTACCCAAAATTGTTTCGCTACCGGTTTGATCCGAATCCAAATGTGCAGCGGTCCATGAACACAATATGGCAGGCGTTGGTCAAGGACACTGCTGCAATTATCAGTGATCATTTTGATGAAATTATGGACGATCTACTGAGAAGCCTGCTGGCCGGTCGGGAATGGCGCGTTCGACAAGCAAGTTGTGCTGCTATTGCGGATTTAATTCAAGGGCGCCAGCCAGAGAAATACTCTAAATATATGGAGGAAATCTTTCTAAAAGCCTTCAAGCTTGTAGATGACATCAAGGAGTCAGTTCGAGCGGCTGCTCTGAAGCTTTGCCAGGCAATAACCAATGCAGTGATCCGCACTCTGGAAACAAGTTATACCGAGACAAAACGAGCAGACATTATGCTAGCAAGCACTATCCCATTTTTACTGAGTGACAAGGGTATGGAATCTGATGTTCAAGAGGTTCAAGGATTTGCTATTGGAGCTTTAATCCAGATAATAAAGAAAAGTCCTGGTCAGCCGTTGCGCCCATTTGTTCCCCGCGTGATGGAACAATTCTTGAACTCTCTAAGCTCCCTAGAGCCACAAGCTGTCAACTATGTCCATCTCAATGCGGACAAGTATGGTTTAACGGGCCAAGAGATCGACAAAATGAGGCTGTCCAGCATACGCACATCTCCAATGATGGAAGTTATTGAGCGGTATCTAATAGATATGCTCGACGAAACTAGCATGAAGGAATTCGCTGAGAGCCTGGAAAGCGTGCTTCGCTCTGCAGTTGGGCTTCCAACGAAAGTGGGCTGCAGTCGTGTACTAGTTCTCCTGAGCATGAGAACAGTCCTGTTCCGCCCGTATGCGGATCGTTTCATCCAGCTTCTTGTAAAATACGTCGTTGACCGCAACGACACGGTCAGTGCGTCTTATTGTACATCAATAGGCTACCTCATGCGACTGGCTTCGGACGACCGAGTACTAAAAACAATTGAACATGCGAAAACTCTGTATCTAACGGCAGAAGATGCAAACCAGCGAATCATCGCGGCGGAAATTTTACACTCCACATCTAAGTTGTCCAATGACCGATTCATGGCATTTGCTGCAACTGCCTTGCCGTTCATATTTGTTTCCAAGTACGATACTGATGAGCACGTTCAAGAAGCATTTGAGAAGACATGGCAGGACAATGTGGGCGGTAATCGTGCGGTATCGCTATATATAAAAGAAATTACCAGCCTTGTTTCAGACAATCTCGATTCTCCTCGCTGGATCATCAAGCATACTGCAGCATTGGGATTTGCGAATGGCATCATGGCACTAGACCCCGAACTGGATCTTGCTACTAGCGAGTGTTTATGGCCTGTTCTGGAGAAAGCATTGGCTGGGAAAACATGGGATGGTAAGGAAGTTGTTGTGAAAGCATTTATGAAATTCACCAGCCAAGCAAAGAAGCTATGGCTAGAGAAGCCTCGAGCTGGTGATACAATGAAGGTGAATTCTTTCTATGTTTTTCAGTCTCTTCCTTTTTCAAGGGTATTTGACCTGATGTGCTTACCAACCTCTTAGGCCATCGCAATCAGGGAGGCTAAACGGATTAACCCAACATATCGCCCACATGCTATCACTGCTTTTGGTGGGATTGCTCAAGCGCGCCAAGATCTTAACTTGATGCCAGATGCCGTTGATATTGTTTCTCGGGTACTCAGTGAATTTGACCAGGGGGAGGACTCAATGGACATCGACTCAGGCAGCGGTCAAAAGAACAAGTACTATAGTGACATCCCTTTATCCTGTCAATGACTAACCACCAATAGACAAACCCGAGAGGATACTTTGGTGGCTTGTGTTAAATGCCTCTTGCAGTGTATTAATCTAACATGTGCAGCACCAGTTGAAGGTAAGTTAATTCCCCCTCGTGTTGCCGTTATATTGGCTTTGCTGACTATATACACAGCTACCAACAACTATGTGTCAGACGTGAAGCGTCTTCTGCACGAAGCATTGGATAATGGAGGCAGAAATGTGCAGATTACGCTGTACGAGGAACTTCGCATGTTCTCCAGTAGAGTAAGTACAGGGGTTTTAGAATCACAGGACAAGGGACCTAAGCTGCGCGAACTACAAATATCTTTGGCGGCCCTGGCAAGCGAGATGTTGTCCCGCCAGATAGATGTGAGTGCCGAAGCAATCCGAAGAGAACGTGCGCAGGCCGCAATGTCATACATTACGTTCTGCAAACAACTTGATATTGGGCTTGATATCGATGGGGAACTCTGCGGGTTACTGAAGACCTGGAGGGAGAGCGAAAGATCCGGGCCGGTGCAGCAAGTCCTAGACCAAGCCCTGGCGAGACTCATGCAATGAAGCATGAGTTGTCCACGTCGCAACGAGCATGGGTGGCAGTTAGGGTCGACCGGAAGCATCCGAAAGGGCCACGGCATTTTTCAACTAGTAAGCGTCAGCCTATCAGGGGGCCTTAAAAAGTGACTGACAGCTTTTGTTCAATGATGATGAGATGCCCTAAAAAAAAGTCCCCATATACCGAATCAAGATCCTTCATGATACAAACATGCAGTGAACGGTTCGGCTGAGCCTGCCAGCCAATCATACACGAGGATGGGCTATTGGCTTCTGTTGGTTTAGAAGCGGATTTTATATTCAGGTCCACTAGTAGAAGGCTATACAAATTGAAAACTGGATCCGCCTGGAGAAGAAGGTCCAGACCGGCCCAGGCGTGTGTCTCTGAGGGCCTGGAGATCCCGCAACTCATGGGGTTTATTTCTGAGTGGTCGTCGCCATCCATGTTTTTGAGCCTGTAACATAATAGCATTAGCGTGGTCTGTAGTACCTGCGGGTCAGCATGAAGTAGTACTAGGGCTAGACCCCACCACTACAGAATCAACCCTAGTAGTTGGTAGAAACTCTAGGAAATTATCCGACACGTTCAGAACTTGGAAGAAATAGATTATAAAGGAGGAAAAGGAAGAGCATTACGGATTATATGGGAATAGACTCAAGGAATGATAGGTAGCGACTAGAGTAGTTGCATAGTTAAGAAATCTTCCCATTTCGTTGTGGCTGCGCTGGGAGAAACTGACTGGATCCCGGGTACCTGATAAAGTTCCGCCAGGGGGGGGAACTGTCATGTCATTTAACGACTAAAACCTACCCAACTGCCGGGCCATGACCAGCTGCTAGTTTAGTCTTAGTAGGGTGGAAGAAATGCTGACTCTGGGAATCGCTTTTCTTTACTGCATTTGGTCAGATGACATTGGTCACGGGCTGACTTTTGGTTCATTGAAGCATCATTGATCACAACTGATGTTGACCTCTTGGGTAGAAAAAGAGACCCACACACAGAGAGAGGAAGAGAGAGAGATATATATATATATAATAAGTAAAATAAAATAAAATGAAGGAAACAAATAAAGGGAAAGAAGAAAACGAAAAGAAAAGACACTGGGTCATCATCTTCCGACCCGCAAGAATCTTCATCCATCCCACATGGTTGGCATCTACCGCTCGCAATACGCCGTTCTATTCGCGCTCTCGCGCTAATGTAGATGTTGACTAGGGTGCCAAAACTGATCTTTTTCATCCAATCCTTCGCCCTCTAGAGGGGCAAACAAATACTGGGCTGTCCAGATGGGAGTTGCTAACAACCTTCCGATTTGCCTCTCAATTGAGACCGTACGGTACATGAAGACCGCCACCACTACGAGGCTGGCTGATGCAGGAGGCTTTCTGGGTCTTGTCTGATGCTCGATGCCTAAGCTTGTCTTGCAGTTGAAATCCGTGCTATAACTGTTGTTTTCTTTTTCTCCTGATCAAAGGCCAAAAATGTAGGTATCATACATATCCTCGTCTTGGTCTGCCTGGCATTGTATTCTAGCTTTATCTTTATACCACTCTATTGCTGCCATCCGATTTCTTCATGCTCTCCTTGGCCTGGGCTTTGCATAGATAGAGCTCGGGTTTACCAGCGGTATCTGTCACGAAATTTGACGTGTAAGTCTCAGATGGCTCATCTGTTTCTCTATAAGTTAGGAGCTGACTCTCACTGATAGAAAATCAGATTGCCACGATGACCATCATAAGTTTAGTCCGGTCAAACAAACGGGGCAAAACATCGAGGAAGCGCTCTCTGTGGCTACCCATCATTGCTCCAAAGGGTACAACGTCGAGCTCCGGTGTCAACCCCACTGTACCCGTGAAGACTTCAATTCCGCGCTCTCATGGACGGTTTCCACCAAGATCTCGGAAAGGTTGCTGGTACGTTCGTTGCGCTTAGATTCTAAAGATTTGTTAGAGGACTTGAGCTCATTTTTACTTCTAGGACGTGTAGAGTACGCCGAAACCCCCCATCGCCATAATTCTTTTTATATACACACTGGTCCCTGGCCTAGTATGCTAACTTGACTATTGTGAATGTAACAGAGTCGCAAAGGTAAGATGACTCTTGAATACTACTTTAACAAGAAGAGACCTATGAATGTTTGTAGTGACTCAGTGGACATCCAGTCAAATGTGACGAGAAGCATCCTCGTTGTAATGTACTAAAAAAAGACACTCTTTTCCTGGACAACAGAATCATAGGCTGATTTGCCCTGAGCAAGCAATGTACCAGGCTGGGCCATGATTGTGATTACCGGCCACGCTTATCCTTTAGAGATGATACCCGTCGGGTAATCGAACGGATGTCAGACGTGGAGACAGTAGGCAACCTTGTTTGGGACCGTGAGACCCTCTTCCATTTCATCCTTGCCTAATGCTACGTACGATACGCTAATTCAGGTAATATCGACAGCTCATATGAGTAGAAGTGCCAGGCTTCCGTCTGCTGATTACGGACTACCCGATCTGCTGCCTTCCTTCGCGACACTCACAACTGACGAGGAACGGGAAAGGAAGGCCCAGTCGTCCATTCCCGGTACTTATACTGTTATAATAATGCCGGAGAGCTTCTCTTATCTTCCTGGACATGCTGATGAACGATCTGGGGAACAATGCAGGAGCTCAACATCAAGCCCCTTGATAGATAATGGGCTAAGTAGCCACAACCCAGAGGTGAACGATCCAAATGTGGTCATACTCAAGACATTTCCTGATGCTAGGAGATACCTGTGTTCAGACTACAGAGGTTCCACTCAAACGCTGGAGTCTGATCCTCGAGACTCCCCATATCCATCTACAGTCTCAGTATATTCAGCTGATTCGAGCACCCTGGATGATTCTAATGCACAGGCACAAATCAAGCTGATGGATTATGAGGCTATGCTACTCTCACATTTTCGCAATGTGGTATGGCCCAAACTGGTCCCCCAGGGGATCTGTTCAGACGGTCATAGACTGGGTGTCGAGGTCTTGGAACAAGAAGCTGCTATCTGCCCACCTGTATGCCGCATTTCTCCAGTTATCTTATTCTGCGTAATGACTAACCACTCTATATAAAGCTTTTTCAAGCGATGATGGCATTGTCTAAGCTCGGTCTAGACCGTCAAGGAAGCTGTGTAGATATGAGCACCATGAATCCCCACCGGCAGGATTTCCCACTTCCTCAGGATATATTCCATCACAGCGACAATCTTCTATCTGACGGACTTTTTCTTACGCAATTCCTACTGCTCATACACGAGGTAGGCCTCTTGTAAGCTCGATGTCTGAGATCCCAGACACAAAAAGGCTGATGTCTAATTTATGAAGGCCATGGCTGCCAAGTCAGATGGGCCGAGCCGCTGGTCCCATCATATATCCCAAATGCTCGAAATTACTTTCCTGAGGCAATCGACCTTTGGAGTGGAGCGATTTCCGTTCGTCATCTGGTGGATCTGCAACATTGACCTATATGCCCTTCTCAGCGGCGCAAGTACAGGAGAATATGTCAAAACGGTTTTAGAAAGCGACCTGCTCCCCTGGCCTGGGTCCCTTCTTTCCCCTATCGGACCTCATGGATCGGATGTCATCAATTCGCATGAGCCTGACAATCTAACATTACTGTTGCAGCTGTACATGGACATGTTCGGGCTAGCTGTCCAGCTAGGGTTAAATATTGCGGATATGAAGAAGCTGGGCGCATCTTTTCCATACTCCCCAATCAATTTACATGAAGACTTCAGGAGACTTTGGGACTCTTCAGACGTTCGCTTCTGGGCCGAGAATCAAACGAGGCTGCCAAAACCACTACAACCCATTTTCGAGCAGGTTGGTCAAATCTCTCTTTTTTTTTTTTAATTGTGCTCCATCGCAGTTTTCAAAGCTAAGGCTAGGCCATCAGATTAATTTACTCTTCCATACTTCACTTCTCCTTTACTATACCAGCACGTGTCCTAGCCAGAGCATTGGTTTAGGCGAAATCCCCGCGCAGATAGTGCATCACCACACGACCATGATCTTCCAACATGCAGAGGCGATGATGGTGAGAATCCAAGGCAGTCCTCCGCACTTCATCATCTTCCCTTTGTTCCTGGCGGGAATTGCGGCGGAAACTATCGACCTCAAAGTCAAGGCATGGGAACTGCTCTCAAATCTAGAGGAAAATGAGATAGGGTATAATGCATCTACGACATGCTCTATGCTCCAACTGGTGTATGAGTACCAGATGCAGCGATCCAGTGGTAATACTAGTGGCAGAGCATTCCCATGGATTGACTGGGTTGAACTCTTGGCCGAACGTGGCTTTCGTTTAGTCAGTTACGGATGAGAAGGGAGGAAGAAGTGCGACGAGGTTGAGACTTTTTATTTTTATTTATTTTATTTTATTTTATTTTATTTTTCTTCTTCCTTTCCATTATTATCATTCATCTATCTATATAATCAATGTTTGATGTCTATGTATGTTGAATGTTGAAATATGGGAGAATGGTCGTAATTCCCAATCTAAGCACGCGGTGACCCATGGAATTTAGAAGCGGGCCGATCCTGCAAATAGAGCATAGTCCATACTCTTATTATAATTCGAAAAGAACATAAAATCATGCAATGTTATTTGTTCTCAAAAGCCCCTCCAGAAGTGGCGCTCCAGTCCGACTGAACCAATGATGATCGCTAAGCGTCTACACCAGAAATCCCTCGGCGGCTAAACTAGTTGGTTGGTTACCTACTGAAGGTGATCGCCGAAGCATTTGGAACGAAGCTGCCTATTTTCCAACGAGAATACGGAGTAGAGAAGAAAGAATATACTTCATTTCGTTTTTCTGTCCTTGTCGGCTGAGGGCCTGACGTGAAAGTGACTGCCAACTATTCTACTATTACTAGGGGTCGACTTAGGGTTCTCCATTTAAATCCATAAATACTGGCAGGTTTTCCGATGCCCCCTCCCCCGCATCTTTACAGCAGCGCGTCTGTTGCTTTTCCTAGATCACGTTGACTACCATGTTGGACAACAGAATTGACTTAATATAGCCTATTCTTACCAGGATTCATACAATGAATCCCAGCAGGGGCCGTCAAGGCAATCACTCCGACGAGGAGCTGTTCATCCATACTCCGGGGCGATCGCCGGTCGAGTCCCCCGTTGTTGGACCGTTGCGGATTAACAAGAGAGACACACCACCACCACCAGCACCACAGGTTGCTCCCCTCCCATACCCTGACGACCGACCAAACCCCCGGAAAATGCGCAGCTCAAGTACCAGCCGTTCAAGTCCAACGGCTGATGGTAATGGACGCACGGGCGACTCCCCCACGAATCCAGATAACATGCCTTCTATGCCTGCTAATACCGGCCCATCCAGGTCGGACTATCCGGCGGCTTTACGGCCACGGGATGGTCGCGAGCCTAAGCCTGCTACTTTGGCAGAACGACGAGGCAATGTCCCGAAGCCCCTGCCTGAATCACCTGCGGGTGATCCTCCGGACAAAGAGGGATTGTTTGTAACGAGATATCAGCGAACTCCTGCTCCACCGGCGCCTGCCAACGGTACCCAGCCTGACGGGACTGTTCACTTGAACTACCGCCAGCAGTATTACCCACCTCCTCAGGCCGCAACCTCGTCAGGACCTTCTGCGAGACCGCCGACAGCACAAAGCCTACAGACTCCTAGCAGTGCAATCAATCGCATTAGCTCAACAGCATCAACGTCGACAACTCGCGCCCAGCGGGGCTCCCCTCCACCTCCAGAAACCCCAATTGTTGAGCCGGGCCACCAGCCAGCATCGGACATCGAGGCACGCTATGCGGCTTCTGGTATCGCAGGTACTTCTATTCTAGCAGGCTTGCAGGCCCAAAATTCTGCGGCACAAAGAAGAGCCGAGCAGTATGTGAGTCAGCAACCAACGAGCCAGCCGCCCATCCAGAGGCCATGGACGCCGACGGAGCAGCCAGGGAGCCAACCTCATGGGCCTCCAACAGTATATCAAGGCGCGGAAGTTGTCTCTACGGAGAACCTCCCTGGAAATCCCTTCCCACCGCAGTCTGTAGCAAGTTCAGGGCAGGTAGTGCAAGATTTGCATCATCCAAGAATCCCGTCAAATGCTCTGGAACAGGATCTAGAAAGGATGCGCATAAGCTCTTCACCTCCTCCTGCATACTCGAGTGTATCTGGTCCGGCCGCGTCGCAAGGTTACCCAAATGAAAAGCAACGCGCTCAGACAACTCCAGGTCCTCAGGCATCATCAGCGGTGCATCCCGCGACGATAGCGCCCAACAGTGCAGCCACAAATTCTGCGGCACTCGAAGTTTCGTCTCAGGATCACCCGGCGTTTGCAAATGACCCAAGGCAAGAACAGCCATTAGAACAAACCCCAGAGAATGGCACGCAAACCGGCGTCCGGGATAGGCAGCAGCAGACAGTTCAAGAGACTCAAGCTACAACGTTACCTACCTCTACGGGAATCCCACCTGCCTCCCCCCCTCCACTTCCCGAAGGATGGATTGCTCATATGGACCCCAACTCAGGCCAGTACTACTACATTCACCTCCCAACTCAGTCAACTCAGTGGGAATTCCCAAAGGGGCCCACACCATTGAACCTCAACGAAACTCCTTTGTCACCGGTAGGGAGCATATATAGCAGCCATCCCCTCGCTTCACCGGGTTTGTCAGCCTTTGGTAAACCGCTGGCGTCTCCTGGGATTCCTCTGACCCCAGGTTATGAGAGTCTACAGTCACCAGTTGTTGCAGGGTTTACTGGTCCTCCACCGAGTAGTGGGGTGGACTTATACAAAATTGCGCCAACGAATGGTGTTTACTTTGGGCCATACCTTCGTTATGCCAATATTAATCTAGAGCGCGGTATTTGGCTAGGTTCCATTCTACTTGTTACCGACGCTGCGCAGCCTCCAACGATCCATATCCATCAGAGCGTTGATCTGTCACCGAACCCGCGTCAATTGAAGGCATCCGCTATCGCCGTTCATCAGAGGTGGACGTTCTACAAGTACGACATTGACTTGCAAATGGATGAATCGGGTCCCGCAAAATGGACCTACGCAATCACGTCACACCTGGGCTGCACGCGCTACGAGTTCTTAGTCGCTAGTCGACATGAGACGAATTGGCGTTTCATCACAACTTCGGGAAATGATTTTTCACTCAATGTGAACGCTAATGAGCGGTCTCGTCTCGGGGGCGTGAGTTTTATGTGGAAGGACATCATGCAGAAGCACAATGAAATCGGGGGGTTCCATGCTCAACTGTGTTTGGGCGGACAGATCTATGCGGATAGAATGTGGAAAGAGATCCCTTCGCTCAAGCAATGGCTTGCAATTCGCGGCAAGGAGGCTCGAAAAAGCATGCCTTGGACTGCTTCACATGAGGAAGACGTCTCTCATGCATACTTCCATTACTACACCAGCCACTTCGATCAGCCATACCTACGGGAATCGTTCGCCCAGATTCCTTATGTTTGCCAAGTTGATGATCATGACATGTGAGTAACTGTCTAGCCTGAAACAATACTGTGGAGTTGCCTGACGTCCGGTAGATTTGACGGTTATGGGTCGTACCCTGAGCATATGCAGTTCTCGAATATGTTCAAAAACATTGGGCGCGTTGGGACTGAGATGTATCTGCTTTTCCAGCACCATACGACGCTTGAATTGCTTCGCAATGCCAGCACCGACATGGACTTATTCACCATTACTGGCACCGGCTGGCATTTTGTTAAGTTCCTTGGGCCGGCCGTGGTTGTCGTTGGGCTTGATTGCCGGTCGGAGCGCAACCCACACCAAGTTGTCGCTGGACCTACATATCAAGGTATTTTCCCCAAAGTTGCAATGCTGCCGCCATCGGTACAGCACTGTTTGTGGATGATCTCCGTGCCTGTCATTTACCCACGCTTGGAGACTGCGGAACATATCGCAAACACTGTTGCTTCGGGTAAAAGAGCTGTCACGGGTGCATACAATGTCCTTGGCAAAGTTACGAGCTCTGTGGCGGGCGTGGTTGGCGCAAAAGAAGTAGTAGGTTCTGGATTTGATTCCGTCAAGCGTGCTGTAGGCAAGTCTGGCCTTATGGGAGGCATATTAAGCCCGTTCGGAGAATTCGACCTGATGGACGAGCTCCGAGATCAGTGGACTCATGAATCAAAGGTGCGTTTGAAGATGTTTTCTGATCCTCGTTCTTTTTCGGCCCTAATAGTTCTATGTATATGTAGGATCTTGAGCGAACGTACCTCATTCGCACTCTCCAAGGTATTGCACATCAGAAGTTTCTCCGTATGACTTTTCTTTCCGGGTCTGTCAACGTGTGCGGTGCAGGATTGGTCCACGATCCAGCTCATCCTTCTGACTACAAGACCATGTATCAAATCATTTCATCCGCTGTCGTGAACAATCCCCCGCCTTCATATGTCATCAAGCTTCTTCATAGCAGCAACAAGCCGCTCTATGTTCCAGCAAATGGGCATCGCTCCTCTCCATCGCAGCCTACTGATACGAAGGAGGACATGATGGAGATATTCCAAACCGACGTCACGGGGCAGGCTCGCGAACACCGTAAGCTGATGGGTCGCCGGAATTACGCTGCCATCGTAGCCTATGATCCTGAAACGGTCAATACGATGTATGGGCAAGCACCCGCGAGTCATGGAGGCAGGCTGAATCTTGCCGTAGATTTTATGGTCCAGGGTGACGGTTCCTATGGGACGGTTGTCAAATATGGGCCGGTCATTATCCCAAGCTTAGGACATGGGAAGTGAACTGCATTTCGGTGAAACAGGGATGTTGTATTATCTCTCTGCTTCCCCGCCTACCTTGTCTCTTCAGTCTTACTTTGTCCTATTCCCCCTTCGGATCTGCTTCCCTTTTTGCTTACTGGATATGACTCTATGACATATCCTCCTAGTCATTATAATTTACCATTGAAACTCTCATACGTATATCTCACGTATCCACATAACATTTCACGTTCGAATTTTGCGTTTTTAATGGCTCGTCCTGTAAATACCCAGTCTTCGCAATATTACACTGTCTGCAATTTCTTATCTTATCAATAAGCAAGCTATCTCGATTAAAATATACTGAATTCAGTCCTATAATAATAACTAAGGCATGCAGTGCAGGCTAACTGCCGGAATTGTATCCTCTACGTACTGTACAGCACCCTTGTGTCTCTGTCCAATGCTTAGGGTCAGCAACTCTCACTCTCTAAGCTAATACACTAGCAACCAAGCATACAGATAATCTAGTCGGCAAAGAGAATCTCTGAGTTAGTCCTAGAATCATATACTCCATATTGCGAACAACACATTCATGTCCATTAGAAATAAGACAAACAAAAGCTAGGAAGGCGCTTAGTATCTATTACCCTGACTTTGCGCATTGCCCGTGATCATATTCTCTGGTAGGTTTAGTGATGGTTTTCTTCCTTACCCGTTGGATCACCACCAGGAACGCAGAGGCCTATCCGCCAGAAGTAGTCTCGGTGAGCAAAGAATAGCTCCCAGAGTCTGTATTTAGAAGGAATAAGATTCCACGGTAGACGAAGTGGTACCTGTTGCATTTCAGCGTGGCTTCGAGAGTCCATCGCCGATGGAGATATGTCACTCTCAGTCGAAACCACCTGGTCCGTCACGCTATAACGCCACATATGCTTCGCCGCATTCAACTTGATCTCGCGAAGCATGGCTCTCATGTTACTTTGCTCCCCAGTGATGCAGTGTGCATCTTTATCACCATCGCAAAATATCACGTCGGATTCGGAGGGTGGGAGAACAGCCTTTGAAATGAAAATTTCTCCTGCATGCATTTCATATCCCCATTCTTCTAGTGGCAGGAGAGGCACAGGGTCATTCACATGAGTCACCCTACGGAATTGCCACTTCTGGGCATCACCTGACGGTAGCACCGTTCCGAGCTTGAACGCCTCATTAAGAAACTTGACAAACTCCTTGTTTCCGATTTTAGGCTCTCCAAATGTCGTTACCTGCGGCTCCCAGCCTCGCATTTGCATCTCAAGCCCAGCCAGCGCGGCAACTGCCCCACCAAGCGAGTGACCGACGAGTATCACTTTGTAGTCACGGTACTGTTTCCTTGCTGCCGAAACATGTTCGAGGATAGTCGGGCGAGTGTTCAGCCACGAGGTCAGGAATCCCGCGTGGACTGTGCAATTACGACATCGTAGCAGCTCCTTGTCGTCCCGATCATTAGGATCATATGGTACATACGCCTGCGGGTAGGCTGAAAGGTCGATTATAGTGTCTGTGATTGAATAAGTGCCACGGAAAGCAACAATTATGCGCTTTGCATGTGGGAAATGGGACAGCGCGATGTAGCCGCACGAGTCCGAGAGGAGGGGGCCGGTGCTCCACGTCTAGCCAGTATAAATGATTAGTTGTGCCGTGGTGCCAGAAGAGAGTCAAGGCCATAAAACTTACAGTGATCAATTCAAAGCCCGGAAATTCATTACACCGACTCAAACACTGGAACGGTTTATGTACCCCTGTACTACCGACACAGTACGAGATGTCAACAATGCGCGAGAGTTCTTCTAAAGAGGCAAAAGTTTCGTGCGAGACGGTGCTGTCTATTCTGTCGCTCTGGCCATATGTAGAAGCTCCGCTTGCTCTAGGGAAAATGAGACTAGCAGTTGAGCAAGTTCCGTATAGTAGGATAGATAAGACAACAAAAGTAACTGTAAGGGCTTCATCAAATGCCATGATCGTCATAACGTGCAGCTCTGTCTTTGGACTTCATAATTGTTGCCATTGTTTGTTAGGAGATCGCAGTAAGGGCACACCATTCCTGGAGAAACGCAGCCCGTGACCTATGGTCGGAGTGACGTCCAGAATCCGGGGAAATCTACGCCTATCAGAGACTAGCCTGTATGGAAGTTTCACCGTATTGCGCAGGTATTGACCAGTGGCGCACTGTGTCATCCATTACCTATGTACAACATCGCTGTAATTTTGATAGCACTATCTAGGTAGTACCGTAATCACTATACGATTAGAGGTTACAAGCTGGATCGAAAAGCTTTTCTATCTCTACTTGTATTGCTTAGCTATCCATGTGTATGTACATCGAGACTGCGTCGTCTTGTGATACTGGTCATATGTCGAGTGATGAGTACCAGACTCGTTTTGTTTAAGCTATATGGCCCAAACAACCACACGGCCATCAACACCACTCGCTGTTGGAAAAATTAGTTTCGACTAACTGGCTTATAAACAAACGTATGTAGACGGTCCCAAAACTTACTACTGAATTTACTGACAATTCCGTTTACCTCCTCATATACGCGAACTGTATTGATAGTATTCTGGTGGACCGTCTTGAGTTGAGTATCAGCCTGGGTCTGTCCCTTGAGATCCATTTGACGGAACATATTGAGAGCAGACTCCTCGCGAACAGCACCGACACCAAAACCGGACTTCTTTTCGATAGTTCCTGCAAGCTGCCATCCGTTCTCGTCCCCTTGGAAGCGGTACGGCTCGCAATCCTGCTAGAGTAAGTATAACAGAGCTTTCGCTAGTATATCGAGTAAACTCACATGGCCAGCAGCGATGATCTCATTCTCTCCGTTCCAGATCAAGCTGTTGAATGGTAAGAACCGGGTGGTAATGTTCAACATAGCCCGAGGAGGTTGGTCCGGCGCACTTGGGTACACCACAGTGACGCTACTATCATGCCCAGTGAATGCAAGCGCGTTTCCACTTGGAGAAAAGGATACTCCTTGAATCCATCCTGCCGAGTCATTCAGAAACTCCCCGCATATAGTGTTAAATGGAAGACGTTCTCCCCAGGCGCTCGGCTCGGGGCGGGTATCAACACCCTTGATGTAACTGGAAAGGACTCTCGCGTGGGAATCGGTCGAGCCTGCAGCCAGAAGAACAGAGTTCGGATGCCAAGCAAGTGTGGTGATGGTACTGCGTATAGGCTTCTTCAGGTGTTTCGAGATCCACCAGTCGTTTTCTTCCTCAAAATAGCAAACTGCGATCACACGGGCACCTGAGCCAACAGCAAACTTTTGTTCAGATGGAGACCACCTCACAAAGGTTGCAGCTCTGTTGATCCGAAGCAGGACCAAAGTCGGTTTCCAGCCAGCAGGGGTTCGCTCCCAAACATATGCATTGCGATCTATGTTTCGTGATGGGTCAGGTGGAACTGAAAAGTAAGGGAATGGAAGCAAATACCCTGCGAACAGGTAACAATCCGACCACTGTTAGGAGCGATATCAACGCCTGTCACAATCTTCTCATGGCCTTTAAGTTCATCGGTCAATGAGAACTTGTTACCCGCTTTCTGGTAAAGCTCCACATTGCTGTCCCGAGCAACTGCAAGTGTTGACTTGTCAGGGGAAAATGAGTGATCAGCGATGGGATTATGGAAGAGGTGGTGAATTTCCGGGGCAGCCATTGTAATCCAGACGACAGGAGGAGCTCTCTACTGTCGGTCAATTGTGAATTCCGATTTCTTCTGAAGTTGTTGACGCAGTTAGGTTATCTTGTCTGAGGGGCGTTAACCCGACGAACCATCGATGACGCGGGCGGGTGATTATATAACATATCACATGATCTTCTCTCAGGCTAGTCCAATAGCACGCTAGATACTCCGTACCAGCAACAGTATCACCGCCCTTATTTTTCATCTTAGCTCCTAATAACATCCTCCTCTCCCTGGCTTTCTCCACTACCTCGCCTCGTATTAAGAAATTGCAAAGCTTATAAGTGATAAGAAATGGCATCGAAAGTAGCTCCTACGCGCATTAATCCTTCGGGCAAACCCGCTTCAGCCGCTGGCCTTCCAAACCAAACGTCAGTGAAACCCCCTCCTAGATTCAACACCAAAGCTTCTGACAATCCTCCAGTCTCTATTGTGCCAATCTTCCAGATAAGCTTCCAAAATATGACCTACGTCTCTCGCTCTATATGCTTTTTTCCACCTACGGTACGGTTTTAGATGTCGTGGCTATGAAAACAAAAAAGATGCGCGGCCAAGCCCATATTGTATTCAAAGACGTCCAGGCGAGTACTCAAGCAATGCGCGCTCTTCAGGGGTTTGAATTTTTTGGGAAACAGATGGTACGTTCTACTTCATATTGTACCATGCCATGCTCACTCATTTGGGATCTAGAAAATTGTCTATGCTAAAGGTACATCGGATGTGATTGCGAGGCTCCGTGGGGCCTACAATGTGCCGACCACTGTTGCTGCATCAGCTGGAGGCGCCTCAACAGATCTTCAAAAGTCCATCTTCAGCGGGCCTCCTGGTTCAACCGCATTACCCTCAAGACCCACTGGGGAAGCGAATGGGGAGGCTGCATCTCAGGGAGTCAAACGGCCCCGTGAGGAGGAAAGTGATGAAGGAGAAGCCCCAATGGACGAGGAAAGTGATGTGCCCATGGAAGATTCGTCGGACGAAGACTAAGCTTTTATGACCACAAAATGGCCGGGAAAGAGTTGGGAGGAACAGAGAACTCTCGCCAAGCTGTGCCTGCTTCAAAATAATTTAACCTAGACCTTGGGGGTTTTTCATGCCCTCTGTTGCAAAGAGTTCATGTGGCAGAGGGAGACTCAGGCGATTGCCAACCATACCGAGCCATATAATGAGATACGCCTCGGGCGTAACCCGCTGCTGGCCTGCGATTTGCTTCATAGCGTCTGCGGTATTGCATGGGTGAACGAAGAACGCCGGAGTTCCGGATTGTGGATGGTACTACGAATCATAAGCGACAATGGACGGAAAGGTCCCAAGAATCATTTGCACATACTCCGAAACTAATGCCACCCATGACACCAACCTCTTGAAGTTCCCTTCTGTACTGGTCTGGTACCAGATATTGGTAGACTTCATCTATCCCCAACGGCCCGGGATAACTGTCCCGCCGTAACGTGAAATACAAAACAGGAACTTGGTATGTGGGGGAGAGAATAACGTCATGTTCTATGTGTAAACAGTTGCTAGAGTTGGATGCACGAATGAGGGCCTCCTGTTGAGATACTGGTCAGATGATACCAAGAATGTACAATGGCACAAATGATTTTCCACGGACAGGATCATCTTCACAAATCTCCACTTGCGGTTCTTCAATATCTACGGGTGCGGACAGGGTGTCATCGTAGTAGGGAATACTGGCATTGTGAATGCTCCGCGATATCTTCAGAACGGGACCGGTTGCCTAAAAGAACTAGTTAGAAAAAAGTAGGCGCGGAAGCAAGAGAAAGAAGAGGCCCCGCATTCAATTTTGAAACACAGCCATCGATAATCAGACCAATTGTCATAGGACGGACTTTGGAAATAACACCAAGGAAAAGGCAGCTGCTACCTGTTGTACAAATCGAATTGATGACCATCCCACCCTATCTAAGTTGCCCAACACATGAATGCGATCCAGGAAGGCGCGACATGCGCATTCGAATTCCTCTGATGTGAGAAGAGGAAAGGCCGATAAAACCCCCTGGCTCGAGAGTGAAGATGATGCCATGCGACTGGTAAAGACGCGGTGTAATTCTACCTCCACTGACCGGCGGGTAACAACTGCAGCAGACACTTTTTGCATTGACGTGATCTCTGCTGACTCCTCTAGATGCACACCGATCCGGTATGCGTTGTCTCGATCCAACGCCGTTTTTGGGCTAAGAACAATCTTTTACGATTGTTTGCGGCAGCAGTATGTGCCCATCAATCCAGCTAAGAGTTCACAATACAGATCGGCGAACCCGAACACTGAACCCAGATTCGGCTAAGAGACAAAGAAAGGAAAGGGGGGGGGGGAAATACTTTACTATGTAGAGAGCGGTAAGGATCGCCAGCCTAATGAACAGATCATAGATCCTGATAATGGAGTGTGGGGGTTTTGTGGCTGAGTTCATGGAAATCCCTATCAGACATGTATCTAAGTATCATGACTGTACAGTACGTAAGCCAGCCCAGCCTGAGTAGGTACACAGTAAGTACCTAATCACTGTACTGCGTATTGATACGATTTTCTAAGTCTACCTCCCTTTCACTTTCTTTCTTTCTTTCTTTCTTTCTTTCTTTCTCCCTTTTTTCCCTTCTCTTTTCTTTTGCCTTTTGTGTTTGTTTACATATAAAAAATCTCAAAAAGAGAATGAAGTCCATCGTCATCGATAGTACTCTAGTTAATAGTGAGATAATTACTATTTGTTCCGACGATCATTATTTCTTACTTTTTTTGTATGCAATGGCCATCATCGTGGCTGAACCTTTTTTTTTTCTCCCCTTTTTTCGATGGTTTCCTGTTTGCGGCACGGCCAAGATTCATAGCCACGCTCCCAACTAGCAGAGGTATTGGTATTAAGCAAATCAATCCCCACTATTTACTAAGTAGGTGATTAGCTAAATTAACTAAGCAGGACTTCCATGACCTCAAGCGGTTCATCATTCGATCAATGATTTTTCCGCTTTGTCTCTCAGGCGCTTCTAGCTGCATTTCGGCTTCTGTAACATTCGGCCTGTCCGTGTTCGTTCATGGTGTCGTGTTGTTCTTCCACCCCCCCCAATTACTATTTACGGGGTATACCCACCAGGATTGTGTTTGTACTTTGTAGGTATGGAGTACGTACAGTACAATGGCCTTGTCAACCTGGCTCGCATCTCAACCTTCGTCGCCCTCCGACCGCGATGATCCGTCATCTCGTTCCCAATTCCGTTCCCCACGGGAACTGTAGCGCCAGTGGGTAACGCATTCGTCATTTTTAGGTGTTTCTTGCATGCTCAACCATGGCAATCCTATCTCTCTCCACTTCGTTATGTATCTTATTTTTCCCTTACTTGTCTCCAATTTGACCCTGCTCGTATTCCGCTTCTTTGTTGGCTTCTCGCTTTTCTTCTTCGGGTACCGTTCTTCATCTCGTTTCAAGGATAAGCTGTGTTTGTTTTTTATAGTGCTGTATAGCTTCTTCGTCCATCAACATCATCGCTTCTTTATCCTAGCCATTTCTTTTTGCATGCCTTGCTTGGTCGTTAGATATAACCACGAGTCTTTCTTCGATTATCGTCCCAGACTCTTACGGCACTTTCTCCAACCTTGCACCTTTTCATCTCCGCAACAGGTCACTTCTCCAGGCTACCAAGCTTCTAAAAACAGAATCTGGAAACCTTTGCATTTTTGACTATCTAAAACTTTTCGAAGCTTGTTCATCTGCAACAAACCGTCGACATCAACCGAGGTTTGTAAGCAGTAGCATGTGCAGACAGTAGCGAGCCGTCAACGTCAGAAACTACAACATTGAAAGGAGGTTGACCCCATCATTGGGAATTCTCAGACAGAAGAAACACTCCTAGATGCTTTTCGCAAACTATTGACATCCGTGTGGCTGCACATCTGCTTGTGTCTTTGCTAGGATATATATTCATATCTAATTTGATTTGGCAGTATCAGGAGTCTCAGCCTCTATTGTGTTTTGTTGTCACCCCCAAGTCATGGGGAGTTTCCTCTCTATACAAAGTGGAAACAAACAGCGCCGATCAAACCGGTTGTCAAAGCCACCATCGACTTTCACCTCCCGTTCAGCAAGCTTCCGTTCACCCCGTCAAACTTCTAGCGCCGGTTCTCCTGTGGCACCCAATCGTGCTCCCTGGCAAGACTCATCGACTGTTACTTCCGTTTCTATCGGTTCGCCTGACCTGGAAGCTAATGACCGAAGGTCGCAGTCAATCCCCTCGGTTTCATTGCAGTCTGAGGCGCCATGGACAGGTGTCAATGGATCTGGAAAGCGCCAGCCCTTATCCGGAGAGCCAAATCATGTTCGCCTCCGCCTAGACACTTCCCACTCAGGTATAACGGGACCTTTGTGCAGGCGAGCTTCTGTTCAGCCATCGAGGCAGTCAGTTACCCTACACAGTGAGCCTCGATCTCCGTCGGTTCAGCCAGGGTCGCCAAGGAGGTCCTATTCAGTCAATTCACCTGCACAGGATACAAGAAGCGCCATGCACCAAAGTAGCCTTGAAGAAGCAGCGTCTTCGAACACCCATTTCATGATAGATAGCCCGGGCTTCTCCTTGATCCGTCGGCGCTCTTTACTTACGCGCCCTGGGATCGCCACGAGACGATCAGTAAGAGGTGCGGCTCGTCGATGCCCGTCACCAATTGGACAAGAGCTAGGGTTCCCGCTCAGCTGTACAGACGAGCCGCCTCAGCTATTCCAGTGGCCACTAATAGATTGCGAGGATACTGTGTTGCAACACACTAATTCGCTTGCTGAGGTTCGCCCGCCAACGCCTGGTGACTTCGGGTACACCCATTTGGGAGCCCTCAAGCTGGGGTCTTTACGGGTAGTGAACGGCTCAGCTTCCCCTTGCCCCAGCGACCGAAGTCGACTCAGGCCAAACAGTCCGACTCAGGACGCCAGTGCCATACATACAACAGAGCTACGTTGGAGCAGAGATCATTTGACTCAAGATGATCCATCTGTGATTGCTACATCAAGTTCTCCGGACATGGATGACTATCAAATCGGACCTGAAGAAATTCGGGGCCCTGTGGCCGTCCCAGTCTCCGAGTACATCGGAGCCGATGGCCCCAACGGGGTATCAGCGAATAACAGGAATGTGGCGAGTTTCCTTATGAATAAGCCGTCTACGTCTATCGTACAGATCCCATCATCTCCCGACATTATAAGATACGAAGATTTACCGACAAGTCCATTCTCTTTTGAGAAATCGCCGGTTATCGCAACATCCAATGGATTCTATGCTAAGGAAGTGGAAGACGAAGCTATATATGTATCTGATGAGGAAACCCCCATAGACTTCATGAGGGAGACTTGTCAAGAAGTTCCCCACCCGAGAAGGGTTTCGCATTCGCACAGAAAAGTAGATAGCGGGTACAGCTCCGCTGCATCAGTTCGCTCTCTACAAGACAATCGCACTAGGGCTTCTCTTGATTCTCAAGAATTAACGCAACGGCCTTCAGGATATCGCAGGTTTACACTCGGAGGCGCTGAGTTGTGCAATGTAGAAACTCACTCGGGGCTGAGCCAGCAGCTTCCTATCTACCGCCACCTAAGTCTTCAAAGACCTAGAATGAGCCCTATAGGGGTCTCCCATGGTTGGTCAACAAACATGGCAACAATGTGCCATGAGACACCACAGATATCAACCAGCGGACGCCCAAGAAGCTTGTCCATTGCTTCGCCACAACGCTCTGGTCACACGGTATCCCTTTCTCGGTACTGCACTCAGCTACGCCACCTGGAATCTTCCTCTAGTGGAGCCTCACTTCCTTCAAACGCATACCAGATACAGCCACAATTCCAACAGCCGACGATACCATATCCGACGAACAGCTCTATGAAAGTTTCGCAACCCGTAATGCGAGACTCAGCTATGGCCGTGACACAGGGTTAGAGAATTTGAACCAAAGGACAACTGACGCTAGTCGTAACAGCGACCAGTCTTACATGTTCACCCCACGTCGGTCAAATCCGGGGGAGTGGTATCGTCAAGAAAACTCCGCATGTGGCGCATGTTAGCAAACCAGCAAAACCAACCTGATCTGTACGCGGTAGAATCACGTTTAATCTATCGTTAATCCCTTTGTTTTTTATTTCTCTTTGGGGAGGAGGGGGGAGGGGGTTGTGTTTGTGTGGCGTTAATATATTTGTCAAAAGTCTCACTGTGTGAGGTTTTTGGCTTGCTTTTGGATATACCCGTGTCGATGACTTTTGTTACTAAAACACTATTGTTCCAATCTTCCATCTTACTACTGTTTTCAATGGGCAGTCAAGCAACTCATACCCCATCAATTTTTGTTTCTTATTTTTTTCTTTTTTGCCCCCCTCTCTTTGCTGCCCTTTTCCTAATTTCTAATATGGAGAGAAAGAAACATGAACTGTGCGGCCCATATTCACCAAAAGCCTTTTTTTAACTTGGCGTTCTTTTCTTTCTTTTCTTTCTTTCGTATATCCCTCTCTCTCATTCTCTCTGTAGATACGATTTCACGATGTGAAGGGGGCCCATAAGTGTGAGCTTCGAAATAAGCGACACGGGACAACATAGCGGTGAAGCAATGTTTAGCAGTTGATTACTATAGTAGTACACTACATGAGTAGGACCTTCCTAAGGTAGCGGTTGACAATTCACATACAAAGTGGGGTAGATCGAGAAGGAAGATGCAGTACCCAAACTAAGGACCCGACCGCCTGGTAACATGCAGTTTAAGTGGAAATGGATCTATCCAACAGACAACATCGCTTGGGGTTTCAATTCTGCTCGGTGGTGTCTCATCAATAAGCAGGCTCAAAGCGATCAACAACCGCGTCACCATCTGAGGCGAAACCCTACGCTTAGCTTTTCCATCTGTATTCCAAGACGATGAATGAAAAAGAAAATAAGTATCATAAGATAGATAGTACAGTATGGTTACTTTCAGGCAGTGTACACGTGGTCATATACTCGTATCATCCCATACATCACATTTTGCTTCTTGCAGCTCACAACTTCTCGGGCTACACCACGTTGATGTCCAACCTTTGGGGTTATACCCCAAACCGTATGGATACCCATATGAAAGTAACGATACCACTGCATACACGGATCTGAGTATGTATACACATATGCACATCGGCCCAGCTCCTTTGCAAGACGCAAGGGGGGTTACACTAATGGCATACCCTCGAACTATTGGCGTTTCTTAGATCAGTTACTGACCTAGTCATAATCACAAGATAAACCATAGCACCAGGTTGGAAAATAGGTCAATTCTTCATTAAACCGTCATAAAGTTGCTTATGATACAAGTCATACAACCACAAAAACCCAAATACAAACTTAAATAACCCGCACAACCCGTTAATGCTCAAACCAGCCGTAGCATGTCAATTCAACATATATACTTGGTCAACTCTTTTCAAAGCCTCGTATAACTAGACATCTTCCAAGTTTATAACTGAGTTATATTAGAGAGTCCGGTGTTAAATCGCATGAGGCCCATCGTCGGTACTGTAGGGGCCCAACAGTTGGCAGTTTACTCAACACGAATTTTCTTTAAAGTAGGGGCAGGTTCCTTTGGGACAATAACTGAGAGGATCCCATCTTTCAGAGTAGCCTTGACTGTATCTTGGTCTATTCTCGTCGGAAAGGTAAAGGCTCGATGGAAGTCGCCGACTGGGCGCTCGGTGATCCAATATTTGTAGCGCGGCTTGGTCTGCTCCTGAACGGCTACCTGCTCTGAAGATTTGGTCGATGAACCAGCAGACGCTGCGTCACTTGCCCCTTCATCTTCATCTTCAACCGTTGGTTGGAGTGACTTGACAGAAGAAGCATCATTGAGAACTTCAGCCTGCTCGTTGGTATTGGATGCGCTCTCCCGATACCTGCGCTCCACGCGGCCCTTAATAACCAATGTATGAGGATCGATGAACTCAATGTCGATACTGGCTTGGTTAACACCAGGCAGCTCTCCATTAAGATGGTAATTGTTGTTTAATTCATAGACATCAAATCGAGGTGTGAAGGAGCGAACAGGTGTAGTCCTTGGCTTTGGGCGGCATGCTTGATGGACATCATAGTCTTCAAGTAAATGAAACAAAGGAGCAAAGTCGCTGGAGAAATTGGGGAGAAAAGCCATGTTCTGAAATGACTCGCGTAATAATTGAGGGCTTGGTGGTGTATCAGAAGCGATTCGGAGAGACTTAAGTAGCGTCAAGTCAAAGATAGTAGATATTGATGTATTTCGTGGAATTTGAGTGACGATGGGTAAATGATACAATTTAGCTACCCATTTTTGTATCTATAATATTGTATTCTAGAAAGAGCTACCATATACTATTTGTTTGTAAGTATAAGGAAACCGAATGCGCTGGGAGAGACGAGTATATTCCACGAAGATCCCCAGATGGCTCTGGAGCTTTCGCCATGTGATAGCGATTGATAAGATAAAGGAACTCCTTGTCAGCTGAGTACGGTATGTACTAGAAGTTGCCCGAAGCTTCAGTGCTGGTTAAAGATAGATCACATGACATGGTTACCTCAGGAAACAGGCTTGGAGACGGAAATGTCTTTTCATGGTTAGATATACAGTAGATTACTAGACACTGCAATTGTACATACGAAGCTATTACAATATCCTCCTCCCCCCCCCAAACACCGCTCCGGACCAATCTATGTCTGCAGATAGTGCTTGATCATCCAATGGAAGCTACCGGATATTGCGAATTCCAGGGGAGGAATACATCTCAAGCTGCCTGTGCCCTTTGCGCAGTAAATACTCAATGGCATTGAAATCCTTTTTGTTGACGGAGATATATTTTTCAAATTCCATCCTGTGTCAAGTCATGAACAAATCCTCCACGTAACGTTCAGCGGGTCAGAACACCATTGCCATTTAAGCAGGGACATACCTAGCGTAAGTCTTAAAATTACTTCTCGTCTCCTAAGCCGGGATAGGACACTGTATTAGTCTAGATGTATGTTTATTCAAATGATAATTCAGAGAGGTCTGTTGCTTACTAAGGGCTTCTTTCGAGTTTCTCGCAAGCATTTCCGATAGAGAGACAAGACCTCCCTCTGGAGACCTGATAATCGGGCCATGACTTTTTGCACACGATGTCACGAAAGGGCGATGTGGAATTTGCTCAGCACACCATTGGGTGGATGTTTCGGCGTTGGACAAGGGAAAATCACGGGTAAGTCGCAACTGTGCTAGCGCCAATCTCCGGTCCCCGCCAATCTGGGAGAGACGCGAGCGGATATCTCCTTTTCCCGGCCGAGAGATAGATAGCCCATAAGGTAAATATGTACGGGGTACGATTTAAATCAGAAGAACATGAAAGACCTGATGTCGGGACTATACAAGTAGTAGGATCGATCCTCCTGCTATCTTCCATTCTTCTCCATGTGGTTTAGAGGTACACCGATATGAAAATGACTACCTTCTCTGTAAGTATACCTAATCTATTCCGTCCATACCCATACCCCTACCCCTACCCATATTAATATCTGGGGCTGTCGGCCTTATACCATACATGTCTCATGTAACTGGCACGAAGAAATAGCCATTGGCCTTGGTTATTCTACCATATTATCTGATTTCAATCTCTATTTCGTCTTCATTCCCATCAAGTAAGCTGACTACTTCTCCCCTCTTCCATGTAGCGTCTCATTCGCTTTCTAGCTACAGATGGTCACATTTATTATGGTGATGCCATCATGCCCACTGGTACCAGTGACATTGGAAAGGCGACTAGGGCACAGGTGATTCAAGGGGATATTTTTGGCCAGCACCAAGTCACAGACCAAGTCGCTGAGGTTAAAACGCTCCTCGCACCACTGGCGAGGGAGGACATTGTAACGGTGCGCTGTTTGGGATTGAACTATGAGCAACATGCGAGAGAATCCAACCTCCCCATCCCTAAGTATCCGGTCCTCTTCTACAAGCCCATCACAGCCATTACTGGTCCGCGTGATGATATCCCCGTATGTTCTATGGCGCAAGACGGGGAGGGCCTGGACTATGAATGCGAGTTGGTTGTCGTCATTGGCAAGGAAGCCAAGAGTATTCCGGAGGAGCAAGCTTTGGATTATGTACTCGGGTATGCTGTAGGAAACGATATTTCCCATCGTGAGTGGCAACTCAAACGTGGCGGAGGACAATGGGGTTTGGGCAAAGGCTTCGATGGTTGGGCACCTTTTGGACCAGGCATCGTCTCTACAAAGCTGATCCGCAATCCCAACGCCTTAAATATCTCAACTAAAGTCAACGGTCAAACAGTCCAGTCATCATCAACCAAAGATATGATATTCGGGGTTGCCCAGACGGTATCATTTCTCTCTCAAGGCACCACTCTGCTACCTGGTGACCTAATCTTCACGGGAACGTGAGTTGTATTCCCCTTCCTCCCCCTCCAAGGACAAAATACTTACATGTCCCTTCGTAGGCCCCAGGGTGTTGGGATGGGCCGGAAGCCTCCGGCTTGGCTTACAAATGGCGATCAGGTAGAGGTCTCTTTGGAAGATGTGGGTTCATGCGTTAACCGAGTCGCCTTTGAAAAGCCATCATCCAAGCTATGAAAGAGATAGTATGGGGCTGGATAAATGTTTAACAGGTACTACGAGAGTTTTGCCTTTTCTGCTATGGAAACATAGTAACCATGAATCCTCTCTGCCGATTAGGATTTTGTTTAGTCATGAAAATTGTAATGCTTTGCTAGTAAAATTCTTGCGGATGCCCAAAGCTATACCTAGTTAACCTGAGCTCCATACCCCCTGATAGACTCAGCGAACGCCCAGCTCTGGGCCTCGATCACTTGGTCTTCCTTGACCTCAACTCCCTCCGCCGTGATCACTGCAATTGAATATTTATCCAGACTCCGCGCATCTCGGTACCACAGAACCTTAAGGCATTCCCTCAAAGCCGCTTCTGCCTCACCCTTACTGATTTCCTCGAGGGGCTTCTCTTCAGGGAACAGCCGACGCAGGATGGGGATAGCAAGATGCGCACCAAACCCAGTTGCGAGATGCGGTGCTGAATATGTAGTACCGAGAAGGTCGGCTGAGCTGAGGAACGGTTTCTTGTCTTCATCAAACCCCGCAACGAGAATGTGATTCCAGAGGGGGTTGAATTCGGAGCGACGTTTATAAAGGACCTTGGAAAGGTACGTATGGAGGTTTTTTGCGTTCAGCATATTACCATGTGTCGAATAATTTTCTCGGATGTCAATAGATTCCAGAAGACGATCGATGTATTGCATGTCTGATACATCGCCGCTGAAGCCAACCACAGCAGAGTCGCCGAATACACGCAGGCGTTTGACATCGGTGAACCGAGCGAGAGACCCGTACGATGCTGAAAAAGTCAATATCTTCACTAGGAGCTTCCCACGTAACATTAAAGGCCTGCGACCATACCCAAGTTATCAGCAGCGATCGCCACGCCACCGTTGAACTTGACCGCTATTACCGACGTCCCAGTCACAGCAGGAGACTGAGTGTGGGTTTTTGGCCCAGTGGTCTGAAGGTATGAGGGGTTGTAAGGCCCGTAGATATCATCCCTAGGCTTAAGGTAGATGGTTAGAAACGTTGGAGCATTCGTGTAATAGGGCACTTACCCGACCCCAGACTTCAGGATAATGGTTCATGGTGAAAGGTGGAATATTATGATATATCGAACGGCTAGCGATATTGAAAAGGCGGGTCAGAGTAAAGGGCTTAGTTAGATTCAATTTGGCGACTTTAAGAGTTGAGTTGGTAAACTGGGTAATACACACTCGGTTGAAGCTAGGCAGTAGAGAGCTGACGGAGCTCGTTGTTACGTTAGCAACGCCCACTCCCGGCGCGCTTATCGGAACTTGTAGTGTCTACGCGCTTAGCGAGTCTCTCCCAACTTATCAGTACATCACTGCCCGTCTCACCGCCGACCCCCATTTTCAGTAGGGGATCGGCTACGGCTCAACGTCATTCCCAGCTCAACGTCATTGTTTCTATATATCAATATTTCTATTATTTTTGAAGCTATTCACACCACACAAAAAATGGAATCTATACATATATAAAGCTGAGGAACAGCTTATTCAAAAGGCCCTACACGCGTATAATAAAGAAAGTCGCGTAGAAAAATATATTAATATCACCAAATTGGCGCGTAACTTCAACACTATTGAAGATATAATTCTATCTCAAGATCTAAATACCAGGTCAAAATAGATGGTCTAATATATACAGAAAATATACAGTGTCATATTAAGGCCAAAAATACGGCCGATATTGAGGCTTATTAGTATTCTACAACTAGAAAGTATTGTCAGGAGAATAGGGCCTTTATAAAGCGGCTCGGTAAGAAACTCGATACTACTCCAACACCGGCCTCATCGAGCCAGGAAAACAGGGCATCTGAAAATCTGTATATATAGATATCCAGGGGGATCATTTTATAGCTTTATATATATAGAAAAAAACGATTTTATAGCGTTTTCATTGAGCTAGATAGAGAAAATGACGTTGAGCTGGGAATGACATTGAGCCGTAGCCGATCCCCTACTGAAAATGGGGGTCGGCGGTGAGACGGGTACCTACTATACACAACTTTTTCTGTACCTCTATTATCACATTATTTACAACAAACACCCTAGTTAAATAATAATTCTACAATATTTTTCTTTTAATGTAGCAAGGAAAAGATTATAGGCCGGAGCTGGTACTGTTGCTCCTTTGTTGAGCTAAACGAATATCGTATATATACAATTGCCTTTTGAGTCATGGATTAAGATGGGGTACGAAGAAAGTCCTGGTGCTCTTGTTTTGCATAGCACATTTATATCAGTACTATGATATTCTTTTCTCTGGCGTCAACAATTGTCCGTTTGGGCACCGAAGAGTTCCCAAATGAGTAGGGTCTGATCATGCTAACGAAGAGTTAACATGGTCTTGTTCGTGAATTGGAGATTGACCTCACACCAGTGGAATCAGCAGTTGCGGCGGCAACAAAGTCAATTGTATCTCTCTGGCCTGCACTCCACTGCTGTTCGGTTTTCTGGTGAAACTGCTTCTGTGACTTCAATAGTTCTTCTTTAAAACCCCATCTTGGTAGACCCGACATGTCCCATACTTCAGACGGCAAGGAGGTGGAATATTGCATCTGGCCATCAATTCCCGCATGCTCCATCAATTTTTTGAGTAAGCTGGGGTTCTTTAAGGATGTTGAGAAAGCTAACTTCTCATTGAAATGAACCCCTTGTTTCTTCAACGATAGGAAATGGGCGAATTTTGCATTCGCGTTGGCATCGGGTGAGCCAGGAGGTGAGAGAGGTATATCTAAATTCGGAACCGGGGGTAATGTTAAGTCATGAATCAGTGTATGGGATGTGGACAAGCGGGATCGCTCGCTGGAGTGCGGCTCTGGGTGTGCTTCTTCATGTGATGGTCCAAGAATAGGACCTCTGGTTTCTCGGCTGGTAGCCGTCTCTGGCAAACTTGGGCACTTATCAGGCACTAGAAGTGATGTACGATTAGACGTGGGCAACAGAAAGGATGAATATGAACATACCCGCATACGCTGATTTCGGAAGTTCAACTGGCTGCCCCTTAACGAACTGAACAGCTTAGCCTCAAATATATGTACAAATTGAGCTTGTGTATATCACCTTCGTTGCGGAGGGGACCCTCTTCTCAACCTCATCCTCGCTGCTGCTTTCGTACGCTCCAAGGCCTAGCATGATTGTAGGTCTTATGTCTCATCAGTCGTTTAGGTGCGTGCACTCTCGTTTTGCAAGCTATAGAGTATGGTTAAGACTGAACTCTTCTACCGTTATTTGCCAGTCAAAGCAGCAGCCACAAGTCTGAGCCCGAGTCGGGTTTAATTATTCCAATGCATACGTACTGCGCTGTTCTGCTAGTAGTGGAAAGACAGTTCATGTTTCAGTCGAGAAGGAAGCTGTAACTAACTAAGCTATCGGCTTATATAAGCCGAAGGCAGCTAACTACACCGCGTCACGGTGATAATACTACTACAATAGCTCCACCCAAGAACTACTCAACTTCTTCCCCCAATCGAGATTCATTTTAATCCAGAAGCCTTCTAGGTTATCCAAGTGGCTAAATACACGCTACATTCAACCTGTACTCACTTTGAATTATCTTCTAACTTTGGTCGATACCGAGATACACCTTAGAAGATGATGTCTTTCATGGGCCACCAACCTCAGAGCGACGCCGTTGGCTACTCCTTCTCTCATCCAAAAAACGCCCCAAACAAAGAACACTCGTTTTACCCGTATGTGCCCAACTCTTATAAGTAGTTTGGGCGCTGGAACTGACCTACATAGGTACACTGACAACGGCGGCTCCACTTTGGGTATCACAGGTGCTGACTTTGCTATCCTTGCTGGAGACACTCGTTCGGTGGCAGGGTATAACATCAACTCTCGCTATGCTCCTAAGGTTTTCAAAATTGGCGGTGATGATGATACTGGCGAGGGTGCCCATATTATATTGTCAGTTGTGGGCTTCGCTGCGGATGGCCAAGCTCTGAAAGAAAGATTAGACACAGTGGTAAAGATGTACAAGTATCAACACGGGAAGCCCATGTCTGTCAGAGCATGCGCTCAGCGATTGTCGACCATTCTTTACCAAAAGCGTTTCTTCCCTTACTATGTGCATGCTATTCTGGCCGGTTTGGATGAAGAGGGCAAAGGAGCGTTGTACAGCTACGATCCGGTAGGCTCATACGAAAGAGAGCAGTGCAGAGCAGCCGGATCCGCTGCCAGTTTGATCATGCCGTTCTTGGATAACCAAGTCAACTTCAAGAACCAATACATTCCCGGCAGTGGGGAGGGGCATGCTCTCGAACCCAAGAAGCCTGAGCCATTACCCAGGGAGACCGTCGAAAGGCTCGTGCGTGATGCATTTACTAGCGCTGTGGAGCGACATATCGAAGTTGGAGATGGGTTGCAAATGATGGTTATTACGACAAATGGGATAGAAGAGATCTACACCCCACTGAAAAAGGACTAGAAGGAGGGTATACTCGACGTTGTGTCTCATCAAGTTCATTCCGATATTTCGTTACTCATGGTATGAAAGCATGGATAGGATAATTCTGGTGTAAGCCACTTTTTCTTCACCATCATGTCAATTATGTCGAAACCAATTTCTTTTCAACCTTTAACGCCAGTACCATGGTCAAAAGAGATCTAAGAGGAAGATAAATAGAGAAAATAGCTGTGTGCGGGCATTAAAAGCGCTCTTTCATGCGTGATGCCACTTTGCGCAAGTTACCATATACTTTGCCCTGTTGCAAGTTAGTATTTGGATATCCTAGGAGCCAGGCGGGCAGACATACCGGTGGGCTTCCGAGAATCAAGCTAACAACAGCTTCCTGGGCAACCAGAATATTGCGATAGCCACCCAATAGGTGTATTTTTTGATCTGCGAGGACAATCCTGGTACGGGTAGCATTTTCTATTGAGTGCTTAAGTTTGCCATCTTTGCCTGCAATCCGTCCAATAGCGCGGCTAAGGTGTTCTCCATGAAGCGATGCTTTAACATCTCGAATCTCAAATGATCGGATATAAAGGTCATCCAATCTGAGTAATGCAATGGCGTCGTCAACATCAAACCCGAGAGTGAAGGCTTTGACAAAATCTTCGCCCTTTTGTAGTGCGCCCGTATCGGTGGTGAATTTAGAAGTACGTAGCTCAACCGCCCTGCTTTTGATATTCATGCGCACCTGTAGCTTGAGGTGCTCAACTAGCGGAGGGTATATTCTACTCCAGGAGGCCTTGAGAGGTGAAAACCTATGAGGAGGAACAGGAACCTTCCGAGTTTCTACTCGATATACAGTATTGGTATCCTTTGCGGGTGTAAAAACTGGCCGACCTTCCTCATCAATGCGCATGTCGGCATCTTGAGCATTTTCGTCTGTAGAGGCAGGCACCGGTACACTTTCCTCCGCTGATGTCTGAGCATCAATTAGAACTTCGTCATCTTGATCTAACATTTAGTTGAAAGGTTAGTGCAGACCAACAAGGCAAAGTAAATAAAGCATACCTATAGCGGTCTGAGTGACAGGCGCTGCGGACGTTGTTGTTTGATCAAGTCTCTTGAGTGCTGTTGGTGCTGGCATTTTGCTTGGGTTGCTGGTAATGATTTTCGGGTACTGTAAAAGGATGGTGGATGTAGTGGGAAATCTAGAGTTTTCGGTTGCAAACAAGACAAACGTCTTTAGGCGCGGGTTTATGATTTCATGCAATTTTTGTCCAAGAACCAACGCTAGACACATCCCGACCTCAGAAGCCCACGGGCATACATTGTCTGTCACATCTTATCGGAGGTCCTGGAAGGCGCTGCTGGGACTTTGTTTGAAATAACTGGAACGGGCCTTGTTTCACCTCATCATCATTATACATTTTCCAGCATGTGACGGCAATAATGTCTAGCAATTTTGGACGCAGGTTGTACACCAGCTTCTGGGAAGCAGCGAACCCTTTCCTTGGACGCGGCCTCTGGGCAAGTCGCACACCACATTTTTATGATACAGCAACAAACTCGAATAACATCATATGCGACCTTTTGTTCAAAAGACAGACCAGGAAGATATCCTCCCTACCTCCCCGGAAGACGACACAGATCACCAGACGATTCGCTTCAGGTAGTTTTCTTGTTCTCGGAATATCCCCAAACTCGACCGCAGTAGAGACTGGGACAACTTGTGCGGTAGCCCCGGAAAAGATTATATCCCATGTCACCCACAGGATCTACAAGTTTGATAGAAGGCTGCTTCACGGCTCATCAAGAAATGCATCCCCACCAAGAGGCTCCCACACGAGCAAGGATGATCCTCCGAAGATGGAGGCACATATGGAATCTCTGAGATACAGCAACGAAAGCTCTTGGGAGAAAGTCAAGCCTTCAGAATATAAGGTGAACATGAAGAACGCAAGGTCAAAGCAGGACATGTCTGAGCCCCAACAGCCAGGGCCATCGACCCGCCATCTGATTGACCGTTTGCCACACATGCCACAATTGCACCGGCCAACCAAAGAGGAGCTATTGGCTGCAGCGAACGGCTTTTGGTCTCGGCTCAAAGTACGATTCAAGTGGTTCTCGATTCGAAGCGTTCGGCCTTTTAATCTCGACGAGATAACCGCACTCTTTTCATGGGTACTCCTAGGGCATGTTGTCTGGGTTGTCTTAGGCACAACGACATTCTTCTCCTTGTTGATCATCGCTATCAATACAGTTTTCGCTCAAGGTATGTTCGAGGTCTGGATGTCTGTATTTTGATCTACTACTAAAGGTATACAGAAACCTTGGCTGGGTGGATAGGTAACTATCTTACGAAATCTTCAGGAGTGAAAGTTGTGTTCGAGTCAGCGATCGTCCCCAAGTGGAGAGATGGCGTAATAACGTTCAAGAATGTCTTTGTCTCCAGGCGACCCGGCCAGGGAACAGGCCATGTTAGTAAAGGCTCGCCTAAAACTGCAGCTGCCGTGGCTGCGGCTGCAGCACTTAATGATCGGCCTAACCTGGAACTGTCGGATCAACGACCCTCATCGGTAGAAGAGGATACGAACTATACGCAATTTGACCTGGCGATCGAGACAGTAAACGTCACACTATCATTTACAAAATGGATCAATGGCAAAGGGCTGCTACGTGATGTCGAGATTCAAGGAATACGGGGCGTTGTTGACCGCAGGTCTGTTTATTGGTCAGATGATGATCTCGACCCAAAATCCTACCGGCATGAACACAACCCCGGAGACTTCGAGATCGATTCTTTTAAGATGAGCGATGTGCTAGTCACGGTTTACCAGCCAGACAATTTCAGACCGTTTTCCGTTAGTATATTTTCTTGCGATCTGCCACAACTGAGAAAGCAGTGGCTGTTTTATGACTTCATGTCAGCCAATATGATGTCAGGGTCTTTTGACAATTCGCTGTTCACTATTCATCCACGGCAGACTCACAGTTTCACCGGAGCACAGTTAGACAACGGTGTAGGAGAGGATGGTAGGACGAGCCCGTGGAAGAAACATAGCAGGATACGCATTGATGGTCTGAATATTGATCATCTAAACCGCGGAGTACAAGGGCCATTCTCGTGGATACATGAAGGAACCGTCGACATTGTTGCCGACATTATGTTTCCAGCCGAAAATGATGAAAGCCTAACCAAGGTAATGGCTGGCATTTACGATCGACTAGAAGCAACTGTCACATCTACTCAGTACCGTGATACATTATTGGAATCCTCAACTCAGCTTGGTGAAACTGCCAGTGAGAACGACAGGCGATTTCTAGTCACCGACTTACGACTGCACTTAAACAATGTCAGGGCAGTTGTCCCCCTCTTCACACGAGATCTCTCATATATAAACAATGCCCTCATCAGGCCCATTGTGGCATACATCAATTCACGACGTACTTTCATCCCTGTTAATTGCCGCCTCGTCAAGCGAGTTGGTGATTTCGACGGCAGTTGGACTATATTCGATAGCGGCTTAATGGATGATCTCTCGGCAGCGGTACGTCAACCGTCTCTCTCAGAACAATGTTGGAACTCACTGATGTCTTGTAGGTTTATGACGCATTCGCCCGGGATGTTGTGGATGAGCAAGCACGCAAGCGACGTTTCAAGAAGGTAGGGTTTTGGTCCCTCCAATTAGCAGCCCAAGCTATTTTCATGGGTATGGCTGGAAATATAGCATGACCTTGTATTTCTATGTGTGGTTACTGGCGTTTCAAGGGCTGGACAATAAAGGCGTTCAGGGATTAAAATGCGTTTAATGATTATCCACCGAGGCGAGGAATAAATGCTGTGGTTTCCTCCGCTCCTGTTTGACATACTCATCTCCTCATCCTTAGGTAGCATTGGCAAGGACCTGGGCTCCTTTTATCTCGCCTCATTTACCTCCGCTTACTTCCCTTGCCATCCATCCCTTAAACCTCTATACTACGTTTTGACTATTTTGCTCGACAATATAGAAATAGATTTGAAAGGGTGGTATCTATCTCAAGATACATAGATCTGCGGTAATAGACTTAAACTCTAGAGCAGTTCAGTGAACTACATACTATTGCATAGATTCTTGTTGATACAGAAAATAGTTTACATATACAATCTCATGCAAAAAGTTTTGAAACCGACCGCTTCACCGCCCTAAATACCGCCTTAGGCCTACCCTACAGCATTAAAGTTAAGAGGTTTCTACTGGCATAATGACCTATTAGGAAGGCGGTTATAAAAAGGCAATAAAAAACGCAGTTTCAAATTTTTTGCATCCCACTGTAGTATATACTTAAATTAGTGGTGCTCTGTATTAGTTAAGTATTTATGTAGTTACATAGTAGTTACCTAGGACGTACTTATTAGTCATAATAACACTACATATTTAAAAGTTAGTACGGAGTAGTACTCCTTTGGCTCAGTATACTCTATGTATATCATGCACTATAAAGCACGGATGCATCTCCCCCTTTATTTTCCGAATCCTCCACTCACACTTCTAATCTAGCATTTTTTATGATCTGTATCTACTACATATACATTTGCCCTGTATATGTATTACTATTCGTATGCACTCCACACATAACCACTGCACAGAGTAAACGGTCAAGTATATTTACCTAGTATGGAATAAGAGTGCCTTGTACTACTATAATTTGTTGCTGTAAGTTATTTCAACTATCTATACTCATTGTTTTCCTTGGTCACAATAACCTACGTTACCTGGTACGTAGTAAGAAGTAGGTATATACTAAGGACAGTAGTAATATTATCTTACCCCTGAACCGGCGCCCATCACCCACTCAATTAACCGCCCGAGTCTAGCGCCCACTCGTGGTCCGCATTTCCAGTTTGAGAGCTCCAACTCCTACACAATCTGCTATGTAGCAGCTTCCGCGGCAGGGTAGCAACAACACTTCAACAGCCTCAACGAGCTCTTTGCAGGGCCTCCAAGGCCACATTCAGCAGGACATCGGTTACTTACAAATTCAACATTGACCGGCGATTCTATTTCATTGCCCGTGACCATCCGTGACCACGATCCCGACGTACACTGCTGAGGCTGTGGCCATTACTACTCTCCGTAAATCTACATCACCCCCGTATACAAGC